GGGGGGGGGGGGAGGTTCTGTGTTGTTTCAGACACTGTGGGCTGTCAGTTCCTATTTTTTAAAATTTTTTTATTGACTTCAGGGAGAGGGAGAGAGAGAGAAACATCAATGATGAAAGAGTCATGGATGAGCTGCCTCCTGCACGCCCCGTGCTGGGGATGGAGCCTGCAACCCGGGCATGTGCCCTGACGGGGAATCCAACCGTGATCTCCTGGTTCTTAGGTCCATGCTCAACCTCTGAGCCACGCCCGTGGGGCAGTTCCTCTTACGTAGTATCCTCACGGAAGCCTTTTCTGATTCCCTAGAATAGATTAGGAATCTGTCCTACTCTGGCAGAGTACCCAGCGCTTCTCCAGGGCATGTATCTTGTTTGCAGTTTATATTTACTCGGGTGATGTCTGTTTCCCCCACTGCACTGTAAGCCCCATGAGCTACTGAGAATTGTGAAATCCAGGAACTGAGATGTGGCATTTGTTGAGTAAATGTTTACTGAGTGACTGTAGTTTGCCCAGACCTCAGTAACAAGATGATCATCTGAGAGCGACTCTGGTAAGACTCACTATGTCAGTAATTAGGGTATGAGCCCCACCGTTGCCATCGTGGTGGAAATACTCCATCCCAGGACATGGAGGCTGCAGAGTAACTTCCAGTTTTTGGAACGAACACCAAAACCAGTCAAAGCGACTGGAGTGTACAGGTCATTTTGAAGGGGTTGTTGGTCTCTAGTTAGTGAACAGTTAGGCAAAGAGCAAGAAGCCGTCACTGGGTCTCAGCTGAGGAGAGGGAGCACTTCCCAGCCAAGGCAAATCCCTGGACTTCGTGGTGAGACTTCGTCTCTTCACGGCGAAGATGTGGGAATCGGCCTGGAGCCATGGTGGCCAGCTGTGAGCTAGATCTTCCAGCCACCTCACTTTGCTGTGAACCTAAGAGTTTATTGAGTGACCTTCTGGTTATAATTTTGCTTCCTGGTAGATTTTTTTGTGCAGAGGAGGGATTATACTGACCAGCCAGTTAGACATTTTGTGCTACTTGGCATATTTCTCATGTACATTATTAAATGGGCATTCTGTCACCCAGCAGTCCCTGGTGAGGCTGGTTAGCATATGGGGTAGTCTCATGTGTTTTTCTCCCCTCTTATGATTTTTCAGGTCAGCCCCATGGCTGTTTCAAATGGTTCAAATGAAACTTCCTATTTGCTGCCTCCACATGAGGAGGACTGGGAAGAGCAAGGCATTCCTGACTTTGTCTACGGACAGAAGGAACTCGTGTGGGATGGGATTCAGTGGTCGAGGGATGCACCCAGCCTCCCAGACACGCTGCCGCTTTCTCCTTTTGACTCTGCACTCTGCTCTGCCTGGAGGCAGCGGATGGAGCTGGGGCTGTTCCGATACTGCCTGGGGGAGCTGCAGACCCAAACCCTCCCTGGTTCCATAGGTTTTGTGGCTCAGCTGAATGTGGAGCGAGGGGTGCAGAGGCGGCCCCCCCAGAACATCAAGAGTGTGAGGCAGCCCTTTGACCCTGAACAGTTTAACTTCAACAAAATCCGGCCGGGAGAAGTCCTTTTCCGTTTGCGCCGGGAGCCTGATCTCCCAGGTGTTCTTGAGCAAGAGGATATCCTCGTGATGGTCAACGTCAGCCCCCTAGAGTGGGGCCATGTGCTGCTGGTGCCCGAGCCCGTCCGGGGACTCCCCCAGCGCCTGCTGCCAGGTGCACTGCGAGCCGGGCTCGAGGCTGTACTGCTGAGCTCACACCCAGGTTTTCGTGTCGGCTTCAACAGTCTGGGTGGCTTGGCCTCCGTGAACCACCTCCACCTGCATGGCTATTACCTGGCCCACAGACTGCCTGTGGAGGGGGCACCAAGTGAGCCTCTGGACCCTGGGGGCCATTTGCACTTGCTCCAGGCTGTCCCAGCTCCTGGCTTTCTCTTTTACACCAGTGGGCCAGGGTCAGACTTGGAAGCCTTGGTAAGCAGGGTCTGTCGAGCCACTGACTATCTGACTGACCGTGAGATTGCACATAACTTGTTTGTGACCCGGGGAGCCTCACCTGGAAAGAGTTCACCTTCCTCAGCCCTCACAGGGGTCCGGGTAATCCTCTGGCCCCGGAAGTCCAGCTTTGGGATAAAGGAAGGCGAGGCGTTCAATGTTGCCCTCTGTGAGTTGGCTGGGCACCTCCCTGTCAAAACATCCCAGGACTTCAGCAGCCTGACCGAGGCAGCCGCTCTGGCCCTCATTCAAGACTGTTTGCTGCCCCCAGCCCAGGCAGAAGAGGTCCGGGCAGCACTGGTGGCCTTGATAGCCCAGGAGGAGCAGTAATCCTTCCAGAAGTATTTATTTTTCTAACTGATCTATGTCCCTTTCAACAGTGATTTGGGCGTTTTCACAACTGCCTTCTCACTTGTGTCGGCCTAAGAGGAGGGATCCAGAACTGATAAAAATGGTCTCTTTCAAGAGGAGATACGTTGGAATAAATCGAATGCATGAGCTCTCATGGATGTATCTACTGCTTCTTACTTACCTTTCTTCTTGGGCGAGCCCCAGGGATGTCCAGCCTGTCGTTGAGAAGGGGGCATGCACAGTGTCATGTACTGCTTAGCTTAGTGCCTCTTTCTGCACCCTCTGCATATACAGGCTCCACTTTATTTTGCCTGTTCACCCTCTGAAGGGTGTGCAGGTGACCATTATAGCAAAGTGGGTTTTGTGTCCAAGGTGATGAGCCCAAATACCCCACTTGAGGATCTCCCCACTTAATCCCTAGGACTGATGGTCAGGGGAAAGCCTTCTCTGGCTCAGTAAGTTTTTCCATAAAAAAAAGGGGAAAATCAGTAGGTTTTCTTTATGGTTTTCTCAGCCATTTATATACTTTGTGAGTTCTCAAGAAAGGAATTTATATGGAAGCGCTTTCTAATCTTGAGGATGGAACACATAGGGGACCCTTTGTTCTCAGAGCCCTGGGCTTTGAGAGTAGTATGAAGGGCTGATCTAGCAGAGGCCCGTCCACCTCTGCTTGCTTTTTGATGAAGGACTTACATACTAAGAGGTATTGGATTTCACCGAATGGGAAATCCTGAGGAGTCTTCCACGGAGGAGTAACATTTGCATTTTAGGAAGACTACTGTAGCTGTATTGGATGGATGGATGGAGTCAGGGAGTCCAGGCTGCTGAATGATGGCAATTCAGGCAAGAAATGATGGTTCAGGTCCTGGAACATCGCCAGGAACACTAAATATTTGTCAAAAGAAAGAAAAGGGAGTGTCCTGGAAGGCAAAGGACACCAAAGTGTTTCAAGGAAAGGGTAATCAAGGGTATCACATGCTGAAGAAAGATCGAGAAGGCTGTGAATCAGAAAGTGTCTTTTTAAAGGAGGAAAATTTTAAACGGTTTGAATTTATTCATTTTAGAGGGGAAAGGGGGGAGAGAGAGCCATGCGCAGCTGGCTGACTCTTGTATGTGCCCTGACCCGGGATGGGACTGCAGCCTTGTGCTGGGAGGACACTCACCAACTGAGCCACCCGGCCAGGGCTAAAGGAGGGACGTTTTTGAAGTGTCCTCTAGATGGATGTGAAAAAGAGAGCGAAGGAGCAGCCTGAGGAGGCGGTTGTTCCTCCTTAGGCAGTGGAGCTGTCTCGGCCACCAGGGGGCCACGGGTGCGAATGGCGGCTGCCCCTCCCGGGCGCAGACTGCCCAGGCGCGGTTATTTAAAAAAAAGGTAACACAGGCAAGCAGGTGTGTCGACCGAACAGAGTTGCCCAAATTCCGTGCTTTGCCCGCTGGTTCAAGAGCGGCCGTGGGTTTGAGCGAACGGGCATCGAAGCGGAAGGACTACAAGTCCCATGATGCACCCCGGCAGCTGCCACCGGAAGCGGGCCTCCCCCAGAGCGCGCGGGAGCCTCCGGAACGCGGCCGGGCGGGTGTGGCTCCCGGGAGGCCCCGTCCCCAGAACGCTGCTCCAATGGGGGCCGCTCTCGTGTCCATGGCGACAGTGGGCGGTGGCAGCCGGCTTGCGGAAGGCGCCACCCCCGGGCCGCCGCCGGGATCGCTCCGCTAAGAGCAAACCCCGTGGGGAGCCGGCTCCCCCTTGCGATCAGCGGGGACAGCAAGTCCCGCGGAAGGAACAAGGAGGCGGTCCCGGAGGCCCAGCGACAGCGGGAAGGAAGGGCGGACATGAGCGACCGGCCGAGTCCTGTCCCAGGCCACTAGGAGCGGACCCAGCAGTCAGTGTCCTCTCCTCCCGGGCAGAGTCCTGGGGGCCCCCTGCGCCATCACAGCCAAGGCTGCCCGGCCCCAGTTCTTCCCTTTGGGGAAACTGAGTCCCGGGACGGGTAGCGGCCGGCCTGGGGGGCCTTGGCTCCTTTGCTCTGTTTTAAAAGCACAGCCCCCCCAGCTCCCCAGCCCGGGTCCCGCCGCCTCCAGCCATCCCCCTTCCCACTGGAAAACAAAAGCAGCCGTGGCCGCGGCCTTGGCTCTGTGCGGCCTCTGCTGCAGCCGGGGTGCGGTGGGGCGATCCTGGGTGTCCGGGCTTGTCTCCCAGTCCAGCATGTCACGGGGGCTCAGGGCCCCCTATCGGGCCCGGAAGCGGCCCCTCCGCAGTGGGCTCGTCCGGTTCTGGAGAAGCAGCAGCAGTCCCTTCCAACCCCGGGCGCTCCTGGGGTCACCCCCGCCGCCTGCCCGGCCTGGAGGGGCTCCGGGCACATCTCGCTCCCGCCCCTGTGCCTCCAGAGCCTAAAGGATGGAGCCAGGGGCCTCGAAGACCAGTGAATCCGAGGAAGACTATGCTGCAGAAGAGGAATCCGAGGAGGAGTGCGACAAGGGGGAAGTCACCGGCGCCGCTAAGCCTTCTCGGCAGACACGCTCCGAGGCCGACCGGAAGGCACTGGACAGTGGAGCCGACTTGTCCATCGTGGCCACGCAGATACCGAAAAAAGACACAGCCCCAGCGGGCGTAGCTGACTCGGAGGTTGGGAGACGAAAGAGAAGGCGGAAATGCAGGTAACCCTTCCCTGGACCCCCTCGCCTGCCCGGCCCCAGACTCACCCCCTAACGTCTCTTTGTAGTCGGGCTGGGACCCACGGTCCTCCCGTTAGCCCGGGAAGGACGCCGGGGAATACTGGAGCACCGCTAACCTTTCGGTACAGAGGAAACACACCCCTCAGCACCGTTTGGGCTGGCTTAGTGTAGAACTTCAGCACGTCTCATGTCATCCTGGCCCTCAAGTGGCTTCGGGAAGAAACGAATTGCACTGCGAATGTGTTGGGTGTCTCTTCATCTGGGTGCCTGGCGGCCCAGGGTCTGCCCTCCTCTCCCGTCGTGCCTGATTTCTGCTCTTCCTGCATTCCAGAACCCTGGCCATCAACCTGACCAACTGCAGATACGAGAGCGGTAAGCGCCCGGCTCGTCACTCGCACCACTGCACATCAGGGCACCGTCTGCTGTCACTTTTCTTCTGGGGATGGTCCCCCAATCAGGCTCCCAGCCCCTGGATCTTGTCAGGCTGGCCTGTGGCCTGTATTGAGCCCCCTGGCTCAGCCCCTGGCAGCTGAGACATCACAGTTCCAGGTGGGAATCTCAGTTAGCTAACAAGAAAAAAATGGCTGAAAGTCACCATTGCCTCCCCCTTTTCAGTTTTTATTAGAAATGAGACGCGACCAGGTTAAAACCATGTTTTTTTCTCAAGGAAGCTCTTGCGGCTTCAGCAATTTTTAAGAAAATCACCAGCTAGGTCAGCCGTGTCTTCCCTCTTACCCCTACTGTCATCTGTGCAAGGGGCCACCCAAAATGTGAGGTGCCAGTGTGACCCCTACCAAGGCCAGAAACCGTCCTAATTGAGAGGAATCACAGGAGCAGAGAGCCAGGCTCTAGTTTTCTCTGTCACAGATTTTGGAGGGGCCCTGACAGCTTCATGANTTAGTCTCAGTGGTACCGTGGGAATCTCAGTTAGCTAACAAGAAAAAAATGGCTGAAAGTCACCATTGCCTCCCCCTTTTCAGTTTTTATTAGAAATGAGACGCGACCAGGTTAAAACCATGTTTTTTTCTCAAGGAAGCTCTTGCGGCTTCAGCAATTTTTAAGAAAATCACCAGCTAGGTCAGCCGTGTCTTCCCTCTTACCCCTACTGTCATCTGTGCAAGGGGCCACCCAAAATGTGAGGTGCCAGTGTGACCCCTACCAAGGCCAGAAACCGTCCTAATTGAGAGGAATCACAGGAGCAGAGAGCCAGGCTCTAGTTTTCTCTGTCACAGATTTTGGAGGGGCCCTGACAGCTTCATGAACTTGGAGTTGTCACGTGGCAACTACAGTGCAGACCTGAGGTAAGAGCTGCTTCCCCCTCCCATCTGCTCGCCAGTTAGTGCTCCTCCTGACCTCACCCAGACACTGTCCCAAGGCTTGTTGCCAGTGCCCAGGCCAGCACCCCCGACCTCCCTCTCTCCACAGTGCGGCGGGCAGCCCAAATGTGTGGCTTCAAGGAGGTGGGGGAAGACGAGGAGTGGAGTGTGTACTGGACGGACTGCTCTGTCTCCCTCGAACGGGTCTTGGACATGAAGAGGTTTCAGGTACACCCTCCTGACCCAAGTTCCTAAAAGGGCTGTGGCCGCAGAGCTGCTACTTCCCTGCTTCTGCCCAGCGCCTGAGGCTGTCCCTCTGTGGCTAGACCCCTGTGCAGAGCAGGAAAGGCCATGGCCGGGGGCTTCTGCTCCAATGGAAATACTCTCCTCTTAAGTATCTGGAACTCCTAGTAGCTGAGGAAGTGCCTGCTGGGCACATCCTATCTCAGTATCTGCTGTTTGCCTGGGGGCATGTGTGCCCAGCTGGCCTCCTCCAGGGCAGGTGAGCCCACCACAGGGGAAGACTCATTCAGACACACAGCCAGCTGAGTGATCCAGCCTTCCAAGCAGCTTAGCCTAGCATCCCGCCTCCACTAGGAGTCAGGATGGGGCCCTTCTTGGCCGCAAGAAAGTCAGGAAAAGTCGGACCAGGCCCTGGCCAGTGTGGCTCAGTGGTTAGAGCATCGGCCCGTGGACAGAAAGGTCCTGGGCTCGATTCCACCCAAGGGCACGTACCTCGGTTGCAGGCTCGATCCCTGGCCCTGGTCTCATCCGGGAGGCAACCAATCGATGTGTCTGTCTCACATCCATGTTTCTCTTTTCTCTCTCTCTCCCTCTACCCCCCCCCATTCCACACTCTCTGAAAAGCAATGGAAAAAATATCCTCAAGTGAGGATTAAAAAAAAAGAGAAAGATAAGAAAGAAAGACCAGGCTTCTCGAGAAGCATATAACTTCTGCATGGTAATTTTGTGGTCCTCTCATGGGGTCTTTGTGGTGGTTAGCAGTAAAATGATTTAAAAGGGTCTGTAACCTGTCCCACGAGAAGGGCCAGAGTCAGACACTGCCTTTAGGTTCCTACCTCATTCAATCCTCAAAAACCACCCCGAGTGGCAGATCTCTTTTGTGAAGGGGACCCCGAGCCCTGGTGCGGTGCTGCCTGCTGGAGGGCATAGCTGCCGGGCAGCGCCGTGCCCTCGAGGCTGCTGTGGTGGTGTGTTCTGGTGCGTTCTGTGGGCCGGTGCCCAGTGTCTATTCTCTCTGGGGAGATGCTCTGTGCTGCCACATCGGTTACTCTTACAGGACTTGTCCCTGGTGGCGTGAGGGATGCTATAAGGGAGCTAGAAGGTCCAAAATCTTATCTAGCTCCTTCTCACTACCCCTCATTTCCTAACCTCAGTGTTCTGTGTTTCTTGGGGGAGAGGCCAAGGAGGGTTTTCTCAGGTGCCGTAGGTTTCCTCCTGGGGACTAGGTAGTGTTTACCTGCACTCACTTCTATCTTGACCTTCCCAGTCGTCCTCCAACCGCTTTCTGGCCCCGGGAACCGCCGCTTCCTCTGGGGGGGTAGTGTAACCAACTGGCTCCATTTCAGAAAATCAACCACTTCCCTGGCATGACAGAAATCTGCCGCAAAGACTTGCTGGCTCGAAATCTGAAGCGCATGCAGAAAATCTACCCGCTGGAGTACAACATCTTCCCGCGCACCTGGTGCCTCCCGGCCGAGTGAGCAAGGGCACTGGGCTGGAAAGGGCCTCCTGACCCTGATCGTGACCTTGAATGCCTTGGGGGACAGAAGTGGAGTGGTCTGAGCCTGAGGGCTCCAGGAGGGCAGGAGGGCCGCCTTGGGGCCCTGGGACAGGGACCTTCTGACGGCTCCCGTCTGCACACAGCTACGGGGACTTCTTGGCCTGTGGTCGTCAGCGGAGAACCCGAACGTTTATCTGCAAGCCGGACAGTGGCTGCCAGGGCCGGGGCATCTTCATCACCCGAAATCCTCGGGACATCAAGACGGGGGAGCATATGATCTGCCAGCAGTACATCTCCAAGGTGAAGGGTGCCTCGGGACCACCAGGTCCCTCTGCCAGCATTGGGGTACCCTTCTCTCCCAAAGCCAGGGAGGCAGCCAGTTCCAGGCTCCTCCCCTTCCGCCCCC